GTGATGGGTTGTGTACAAGCTAATAGTGTGTCAGAATGGTTTATATTTATACTTCTCATCCAAACACAATTAAACTCACTCTATCCAGGAGACACAATTTATCAGGATAGTTTTTTAAGTAATAACAACTCAGAATAAAATAGGAGTAATGACTTTCTACTTCTTACCTTTTTAAAAAATGTTGTGAGTAGAAAGTACAGATAATTGTGTAAAAATGTAATGAGTAAAAGTAAAAAGTACGCTGAAAAATAATTACTCAAGTAAAGTACAGATAACCAAAATTTCTACTGAAGTACAGTAACAAAGTATTTGTACTTAGTTACTTTACAACTCTGCAGCAAATCAAACAAACTATCAAAAGTTGCCTGTTCCACCTTCAGAGGTCCATCAGTTCACAGACTGAAGCTTTGAGGCCAAAGCTCCAACTTTTCCTTCATGACCTCATATCTGAGCCGTTACACAACTGATGGACAAGCAGCACAAAGATCAAAGAGAACACATCAGACATCAAAGCAGCAAAAACAACCAGAGCCACTTCAGTCTGGTTTCAAACCAGCAACCTTCCTGTTGGCAGAGCGGAGCAGGTGGAAGCCCATACTCACATCTCCGTCACGTTCTCGCTCTCCTGGGGGACCAGAGGGGGGATGCTGCTGATCCCGTCGGGCTCCAGGCACTGCAGCATGGCGAAGGAGCAGCGGCAGGCCGGGGGGCAGCCTCCTGAGGTGGGCTCAGGCGACAGGCTCAGCACCGCCAGCACCAGGGGCAGGAGCAGAGCCAGAGCCCCAGGTGGCACGTCCATGTCGTGTCTCCTCAGCACCCTCAGAGATGGAGCAGGAGAGTCTGTGGTCCACCTCTCCCAGCTCTGCAGCAGGTCTCTGGTCCCAGCTGCCCAGGGTCTGGGAGTGAGCCACAGCTGTACTGAGCAGCAGGAGGGGCAGGCTCTCAGGCAGACGGAGGGCCCCGGGGGACATGCTAGTGGTGGGCTGGAGCCTCTCTTTTTTCCTCCCTCTCTCCTCGTCTCCTCCAGCGTGAAGGGAGGGAGGGGCGACACAACAGCATGGGCCAAAGTCACCAGACACCTCGCTGAGCTGAGAGGAGGGAGGGGTGGGAGGTGAGGCTGTGGGCATGATGAGCAGAGGATGATGGAGATGCTAAGGTTAGAGCTCGGCTGGGCGGGCAGCGGGGGGTCTCGAGGTGTGAAGGGGGCCAAGAAGTCAGGGCTCCTGGGTGCCTGAGTGTGACGGCCCGTCCCCTGCAGCAGCATCACTCTACGAGTGGAGAGAGGATCATTAAAGAGTTAATGATTGTTGACTCCTGCAGGTCAGTGAGGGTGGGGCTGGGGGAGCTCCCAAAGGGGCTCAGTGATGAGCTCAGGTTCTGTTCATGAGCGGTCACTGGATTACTGGAGCTGCTTCATAACCTGGATGGATGATGACATAAAAACTAATTTGTTTGGTTTAAATCAAACATGGAATCAACTCTGGTTCTTGGTGGGACATCCAGCTGATCTACTGGAGGAGAAACTCTACTGTTGTGGTTCTTGAGATCTGTTTTGGTCTTTAAACCAGTCTTAACATTTAAAACCTACTGATTCAAACCCAAACCTGACTCATTACTATTTATGTATTTTTATTAGCAGCTGCCACCCATCCCCACCTCGCTTCACTCACATGTAGCACTCTAAGAAAGTGAGCAGTGTAAAACAGTTCGGCTACATAAATCATAAAGGATATACAGTATTTGTAAAACAACATTCAGGAGAAATTATACAGCAGCTCGTAAATTCTGTAGCACTTCAGTTTCAGAGACAGAGGGGACATTAAACTTTAACAAACTGCCTCTGTACGCAAAGATTTTGTCAATATTAGCTCGTAATATTAAGTTAGCTACATGTGAACAGAATAATATATCTTTTAGGGCACTATTTTTTTATTTTTTTTATTTTTGTCTTGGTCCTAATCACAACACTAACAAACTCTGACAACCTGGCAAGTCTTAAGTCACATTTTCACATTTCAGGACTTTGAACTCCTCAACTTGATTTACTTTTGAAATGAAAGCACCTTAGTAAATAAAAGTAGCTTCATTTTGATTAGCTGAGCTAAATGTGCAGCTCCCAGTAAAGAACATTAAATCTGTCGATTTTCCTGCTCTTATCTGGGGTCGAGTCGTGGGGCAGCAGCCTAATCAGAGAGACGCAGAACACCTCACCAGGGAGGAGTCCAGGAGGCATCCTAACCAGATGAACCACCTCAACTGGCTCCTCTGGACGTGGAGGAGCAGCGGCTCTACTCTGTGTCCCTCCTGGATGACTGAGCTTCTCAGCCTATCTCTAAAGGAGAGCCCAGACACCCTGCAGAGGAAACTCATTTCTGCAGCTTGTGTCTGTGATCTCCTTCTTTGGGTCACTACCGAAAGCTCGTGACCTTAGATGAGGGTAGGAACGTAAACCAACTGGTAAACTAAGAGGTTCACCTTCTGGCTCAGCTGGAACATTAAGTCCAGTAATTATAAAACAGTTGATTGGATAAGAAAATGAAGGAAAGCAACATTAGTAAGTAAATATTCCACAGAGCAGTGAATCAACACAACATGAAAAACATTAAGTTCATAGAAACCAGCAGGATCTATCCTACTGGAGCAAAACAGGAACAGAACAAACCTTTTTGATTATTATTATCTGCATTTTCACATCAGAGTAAAGTGTTCCAGTTTCCAGCTCGTCAGAACGTCAGGAAGAATTGGTTTGTATTTCAGCATTGTGAGGTGAGGTGGGCAGGATGACCCGGGGAGCAGGAAATATCCAGAATAAGAAAAATAAAGTTTATTAAACAAAAGAAGGTAGTCGTGGCAGCAAAACTCACAAGAAGAGTTGTAAAGTAACTAAGTACAAATTCTTTGTTACTGTACTTATGTAGAACTTTTGGGTGCTTTACTTGAGTAATTATTTTTCAGCCTACTTCTTACTTCTACTTCTTACATTTTCACACAATTATCTGTCCTTTCTACACTGCTTACATTAAAAAAACAAGAAATAGAAAGACTTTTATTTTATTTTTGCTTGTTTTCATTCCAGCTTGTTATTGTAAAAAATAAATATTATCCATATAAACTGTGCCTCCTAGACAGAGTGAATTTAACTGTGGTTGAATGAGTATAAATATAAATAAAGTATAAATATATAAAATACTGATACTGTATTAGTTTGTACACAAACAAATCATGTCACACTCCAGCAGGACATTGCAGACAAATGTAGCCTAGTACAAAGATGCAGGTGGCAGCATATTTAAATTACATACATATATATACACACACACACACACACACACACACACACACACACACACACACACACACACAC